GACAAAGACAGGATTAAAGATATTGGTTCTAGATGACAATGGAAACCCTTGCAACCATACCAAAAATGTTGTATACCCTGAGGTTTTTTAGAAAATTTGGTATTAAAATAAACATTGTTATCACCATATTCTATTCCTAAAATTTTATTTATTTTACTTTGGCTTTTTTTCATCTGTAGCATTAAAAATTATTTGCACAATAAATTTTCTTTTTACTAAAAAATAAAATAAATTGAAAAATAAGTTGAGAATCGACAAAAAATTTGTTCGACCCCGTGCGTGGCACGGGTCAGAATACTAGTATTTCCATAAAAGGTAATAATGTAACGTAAATATGTAAACGGTTTCCGAAAAGGAAACAAAATATAAAATATATCTATGTATAAATGTAGATATTTATGGTCAAAGTATAAATTGGAGACCGCGAAAAGTCAAATGAGAAAATCATTTCCGAATGGATGGAATATTAATATAACGTAATTATATCAACGGCTGGGTTCTAGAGCCACTAAAAAAGAGTGGCTACGGAAGCCACTCACTCAATTAGGACACCTATGGTGATTCGTTCGCAAATTGATAGCTCCTAACCCCTCTAGCCCCCCGGTAAACCCCCCACCCGGTTTCGACCCCAACTCATCCCTCTAACCACGTCAATTGCGGGGTGCAAATTTAGTTGACTTTGGAGTCAAAAAAATTAACATCAAAGGTAAAAAATTAACATTATTTATATTTATTTTAATAATGTATATTTTAGTTTATAACCAAAATTTTCATAAAAAGTAATAAAAATTTATTTCCTCTTTAAAAGGTAATAATGTGCCGTAAGTGAAATTAATTATCTCTATAAAAGGTAATATATTATCATAAGATTGAAAGCTAAGTGTAAAATTTTTAAAAGCTATTAAAACCTTTCCATAATTAAATTGACATTATATAAAAGATATATTGGGCAATAGTGTACAAAAAGTTTCCTAAAAATAAACGTTATTTCAAAACTATTTCCATTCTTACCTTTTTTAGCTTAGTATTTTTATTGCTATTTCAACTTAATACATGCCTAACAAAAATAAAATATTTATATAAAAATATTCAACCGTTTAATAATTATAAATTATTAAACACGTGAGCGTTCTATTTCAATATTATTAAACACGGAAACTTGATATATTATTAAAAATTCCATAATATAATACGTAATATGCACAATTATTATTAATCATTATACATGTAAACATTATTAATTATTGAGCACAATTATACATGGAAACGTTCCAAAGATGAATAATGGCTGTGGATCAAAATTCTGACGCTAATAAATGGTTCACAACGTAGGTGCGTTTGGGCGGGAAATATTTCCCCTGCTTTTAAAAATAGTATTGATATTGATTGTATTAAATAAAGTGAATAAAATAGCACTTGTAATAGAAGAAGTAGTAACATCATCCTATTAAGGCTCTATTTGTTTCGGTTGTAAAAACAAAGTTGGATGTTAGAAAAAACTAGAAGAAGTTGAAAAAAATTGGAAAATGTTGAAAAAAATGGTAGTTAAAAAAATTGGAAGAAGCTCGAAGAAACAAGATAAAATTGGAAAAAATGAAGATATTTATCGGGATATAGTTCGTGCCCGGTGGGCCAACGACAGTTTAAAATTGTTGGTAGACCTTGCATTTCTTTACCTTTTCAATGAAATCCTTCACCATAGTAGGCCTAAAGCACACCTGGATAATTAGCTTACCTGACATGGCGTAGTATCTCTGGTGGCCGGGTAGAGCATATTCCTTCGTGCACCTCCTCCATGGCCAGCTCAGCCTTGTCTAGAGGTGCTAACAAATATTAATCGGATGAGATGTGTCATTACTAGATTTGTATCCGTTTATTTTTATTGAATATCGAATTCAGATGCGGATCTTGACAGATACTTAAAAATAAAACCATATCTGCATTTAAACTTTAAATTTTAAAGTTTAAAGTTTAAATTTTAAATTTTAGATTTTAAATTTTAGATTTTAAATATTAAATTTTAAATGGAGCGGAAAGAGAATTAAAAGTTTCCTTCTATTTTAACATAAATTATTTTCCCCCATTGAAGGATTATATTTTCCGCGGAAAATATTTTCCTTCCACTAATGTGACGAAACACATGAAAATAGAATCTAAGTTTTCGTGGAAAATATTTTTCTCCAACCAAATACACCATAAGGTATATAACATTTTTGTGTAATGTTATAAAGACCATCAAAAACATCTAAAACTAATACTTTCTACTCGACTTTTACTCTAGCTCACTAAATGATAATATTGGTGAAATTATTAAGAGCATCAAATCAACGACTTCATTTCAATGTGTTTCTACAATGATATGCCTCCAATCTTTATTATTAATCCAACTTCAAGACTCATTTACTTCAATTATCTCCACTTCTCTAAGTCAAAAATATTCTCTGCAATGCAACTTTTGTGCAGCAATTAGAGCCCCTTGGTAGTGTCGAGCAATAAATTAAAATAGAACCTCGAGACTCTATCGGCCAACTCCGTTGAAGTATTCACATTAATCTTGAGATAAACATTATGCAACCGTTGAAGGATTCACATTTTTTAATTTATTTGATTTAAATATTTGATCATTTTGAAAATAATCTAGTCATTTGTAGTATTTTTAATGTAGAGATTGAAATATATGTTCTATTTTATTTTATATCAATATCTAAATAAATAAATCAAAACTAAGTTTATTTAAGCATGTCATAAAAAATATGATTTTTTATAGGTTATGAAAGTAACTGTTTTTGAGGAAGGAAAACTCATTTATTAATTTATAGTTTTATTATAAATGTTGTGAAAAAGTATAAAATTAGAAAAATATATTCTAATGAAAGCGATTATCTATTTTCCAAAATTAAATTTACTAAATAATGTTAAAATCATAAAGAATGTTAGTGTAAACATAGTATATCTTAGTAAATTTTTTTATATCAATTGTTAACTATAATTTAACTAAAAATATCATATAATAATAGATAACTATAAATTTTATAATCTTCAATTAAATCATAAATAATATACGGAATATAAACCATAAATTGTATAGCAATAAAATAAAATCATAAAATCAATATATTCAAAAAAATATTGGAAGTATGAAAATACGTATTGAAATGTTGACACATGTCATTCATTCAAAGATTGAAGTAAAAAATTTATATATAAAAGATAAAGTATTATAACCTTCTAAATCAATAAATCAATGTGAAGTCAATGAGTAAATGTGTTCGTATTCTATTTCTTTATATCCTTTTATAGATTGTAAATTATTAGAGCCTACTTGTGTAAAAATGATAACTCACACTGCTATAATTTAGTTTGATTAGTTTAAATTTTTAAAATGATAATTTATAATATTGTTAATATAATTAATGGTATTAAACACAATCTTTTAGTGTTAGTATTTTTAGATAATTTCAACCCTTAAAAATTTATTCAAAAGTATACGTGTATACGATTCGTTTGAAGTGAGGTTTTTATTTATTTTTTTCATAAGATTGACCCGGTTATATTCTCCTTCTTCTAAAAGAACTACTTAGAGTAACTCTTTTTTTATTTGTCTAAAAAAATTTACACTTTATCTATTTTCTACTCTATTTTCTTTTTGAAACATATTTTCTACTCTATGATTGACTCATTATTTATCCATTTTCATTTTATAAATGAACGATTGACTCATTATTTGTCTATTTTCAATTATTTCATTGACATCGTACAAATAGAGAAATGGAAAATTAGAAATTACTCGGAATGAAAAAAAATCATTGACTTTATGACATTCTTGTAGCTTTTTCAAAATTCAAAATTTTTTGGACTTACTCCGGAGTATATTTTAAGATATACAGACTAAAATAAAGCAAAAAAAGTATATGGAGTACGTAATACCTTGCAACTTAAATTGGTAATTACCTATTTTGATCCAAAATACCTTGTAATAGCTTTGGATTTAAGGAGATGCTAGGGCGGAATTTTTCCCTTTTAAAAAAACTTCGATTTAAGAAGGAAAAAAGATTTAATTTTCCTAAATGCTTTAAAAACATAGCAATCAAAGATGAAGTAAATTTGAAAGGAATTCTCTAAATTCAGCTCACCTTATTACGCTACATAGCATGTCAGTTATATTGCCACATGTCAAATTCTTGTATTGCCAAATGTCAGTTTCTCAGAGTCTAAACTCTCAAATTTTATATTAAAGGATTACTTTCTAATGATGCTTATCTAGTTGACTACGCATATGACGTGTCGCCCTCTTGTGACGTCCCCAGCTCTGACCGTAGAACTTGTGCGGTTCCCCATGAGTTGACCTTCAGGCGTAACTGCGTAAGGCATAACCTCAGAATTGCAGGGGGTGCATAAGATGACTGAGTGTGGCGATTGGACACGGTCTTGAGACTTACTTCATGCCCCGCTGAGTATGCTCCGTGGACCGAATGTGCCACCCTAGTGGTGTGCTCATTTGTTCCAGGCTGAACCCAATAAACATAGACCCTAGTGACAGAGCCTATATCTTTATCAGAGAGAAATAATTTTTCTTGGTAATCATTTTCCCTACAAAATATATTTTTCAAAAAATAGTATTTTGCTAACCAAACAAGCCCTTAATAAAAAATATACGAAGTACTATTTGTTAATAGAGTTGCGATTCCATGATTCTAAGACCCACATGTAAATTGTGAAACTTTCACAGTTTTCATAGGTCGACATGAATATCTTTTATTTTTTTCAAATAATCTAAATCATCCATAATATTTAAATGATAAAATTCATAAAATAAATATAAACAATAAAATGAACATGAACATTAACACCACAGAAAAATTTCTAACTTGTTTTAATTATTTCTAATTTTGTTGGTAGCTTTTTCTACAATAATTTTGTAGGGAGGAGTAAATTTTCTCTCTCCACTACTCCTTTTTCTTCCAACGTTAGCAATGATCATAGGATTAGAAAAAAGCTAGCTGATTTTCTTTCACATACAAACAGCATGAAACTTCACATCCAATGGCCAATCTTGTCTCATCGTCCTGAGTGGGTCGGGAGAAAGACCCAAATTCAGCTCACGAGAAAGTAGGCGCACCGCACACCCATTCATCTCAAATTCGCTGCTGGAAACTCCACCCGTGGCACTCTTTTTCTTGCTTCCGAGATTCTTGCGCACCAGCTGTTTGATAAAAGTCCATGGCGACTGGATGTTGCGTTGCTACTGCTCAAACCCATTATGGACTCGGCAGTTCTGATATCGGCTTGCCCTCCTATTCTTCTTCTTGGACTCCGGGCCATAAACGTAACCATGCCAGGTCTTTCTTCAAGCTGAAGCCCAGTGGAGGGTGTCGAATCAGGTGATCTTCTTCCCTCCATCTTCATCAATTGTATTGGCAGTATCAATATGTGTATAACTCTCTTGGTTCTTTTTAACTGTCATTTTTATAGTTGTACACAGTAAGATCGTAATGCATTTTTGTGAAGTTAAGGTAGAGATAATATAATACACCCTAATCTGTATGACTATAATGTCTCCATTAATGCATTAGAGTACTGGGTATTATATACTCTGTTACTATCTATGGTGGTTGAACTGATTTTGGGAAATATGAACTTGATAGTTTCTTGATATTTTAAAGTTACAATTATTTGAGAACAGAGTTATTATTGAAAAACACAGGGACAATGTTGTGGGGGTCTTTCGGAAATAACCTCTCTACCCGAAAGAGGTAGGGATAAGGTCAGTGTGCACTTACTCTCACACCCCATTTGTGGGACTCGCTGGGTTGTTGTGGTTGTAAATGGAGTAGAAGCTTTGCATGGATATGTAACTATGTGTCTATGTAATCAAAATAATAATGAGGTGTTTTGTTGGAAGAAAGTAATTATTGAGGAGTGGAAGTGAGAAAAATATGTTTTAAAAAATGAAAGGATTTCACATAGTTTTGTTTGGTTGATAGGATGAGTGACAAATCAAGAAGGTAATATGATACGTAAAGTTTTGAAGAACTTTTTTTCCATTCATGTTTGAGGAACTTTTTTTCATCATCTCTGATGGAGCCAAAAGTTCATTATTTTTTCGCCTTGGGGTTTGATGGAATAAAGCAAAATGACTCTTTAAACTATTTACGCTTCTTTTAGAGCAAAGTAACAATTAGTCAATGCAACTTTTGACGCTCATCATGGGTCATCTTGAAGCAGCCACTCTATGCTTTAATCATAGGGGTGAGGCTACTTACATCTGACCCCCTTACCCCGAATGGGTGGGAGTCTTCGAGGCACTGGGGTAATGTTGTTGTTCACTTATTTGAGGAATTATAAGTTCTATGAAGAAACATTCCACACATCACACACATGAATATACCGGAAAATGATGGAGTTTCGGTTGAACTCCAACAATCCAGCCTTTATTAATTTTTCCTATCAGAGTTCGTGAAAATCAATGGAGATTTGGTTCAACCTATCACCGCATTATACTAGTGAATTTCGAGGTACCAATCGTGTTAGGAACATAACCCAACCTCACATTAAACCCGCATTATTGTAGAAATCAAAGGTACCACACCTGAACGAGTTGGCATTCTAACTTAGTTGAGAGTTGAGGTTGTGCATCCTTTACTATTCTTTTCGTACATTTTCGATCTCTTTTGTGTGTGTGTGGGGGGGGGGGATAATCAAAGGTACTTCATCTCAACCATTACTTTAATCAAAACTTAAAATTTAATAAATAAAAATTCTAGATTGAAAGAAATAAAAAGTGGGCAAAAGAAAGAATAAATAGGTGAGAGAAATAAAGGTGGAGTAAGTTGGGCATGCTTACTGAATGTGCATTTTCCAAAAAAGGAAATGAAACAATTGATATGAAACAACTAAAAGCTAAAGTGAGACCACTATTGCGACTTGCAGGACGAAGGGAGTAGCTTCTTTGTAAGGAAACATGAAGCTCTAAATGAGACTTTTGTTTTAGAAATTGGTTCTTTGGAATATATGGCACAAAACATTTTTGAAAATATAAGAAAATAAGTAAACATTTTCTTTAAAAGTATGTTTCAATTCTATTTATAAAACCATTACTAAAAGCAAAATGCTAATATGAAAATTGAAAATTAGCCATAAATATAGCTTATTACTAGGATGATGAGCTAAGTGATTATTTAATGATTGTGAAGTGAATTTCAATAATTCTTAAATTATTTTAACAATAACAACTTATGACACCCCTACTGTTGAACATGGATGTTGATTATGCCCAACTTGTTACACTATTAATCAGTTTGAATTCCATTTAGAGCATGGATGAGGTGATTAGACAATCGACATGACATGTTATATTTGAAGCTCACCAAGGACATGTCTCTATCAGAGCCGACCTGAAAAACGGGTTTTGAACATAAATTTTGTGACTCGAACCCGAAGACCCGTTAAAATTTCAGGCCGGGTTGGGTTTGACCCGACGGGTTTAAGCCTTTTAACTTTTATTTATTTCGGTACTTCACTTGCAAGTTCCACTGCTAGTATAATATTATGTTCTTGTTTTTCTTTCAAGTTCATTACTTTATATATGGAGTATCTTTTTATTATGGTATTAAAATATTAGATTTCAAATTTATATTCAGAATAATTCAAATATATGTTTCCTGAATTAAAACAGGAAGAAATGTATTCAAAAGTCAAAACAATATATTCAAAAAATGAGAAAATTTAACTCCTGAAGTAAAATAGTAAATAGGGTGATTGTTAAAAAACTTTGTTATTAAAAGTTCATATTTTAACTGAATTAGCAGATATAAAAAAGTACCTATTTTGTTTTAATATTTTTGTTGTTTTAAACTCTAAGTTATTTGATATTTATCATTGTGTGCTTGGATTGTTTATTTGGGGCATGATGATGTTAACAATTTTTTGTTACGCCTAAGTTTTTTTTTGATTACCTTCTTTGTGTTTGGGGAAGGCATTGACTCGTAAATGGCAAAATTTTTAATTTTGTATATAAGTGCCTAAACCCATGGCCATGAACAAGCACTCATCAACCCAAATCCGAATTGACCCAAACCCAAAATAACCTGAATTCAATATACCGAACCCAAACCTGACGTGACCAGCCGTTTTGCTAGGTCTAGTCTCTATATAGGAAGGTGTAGAGGTGGAGGATTATAGTTGGTGGTTAATTGGACTTGGGAGTTGGGACTCACGTTATAGGTTTGTGCGTGTTGATATCACCCATTCTTATTTGTTGTGTAGGTATTTTATGTAACCTGTTCGCCATTTACAGTTGATGTTATAGCGTGTCTTTGCGGTTTCTAGAGATGATGATCTTCTGTAAGTAGTCTCTCTATCATGTTAGGCAGGTAATGTCTGCATAATGTTTTGTTGATGTACTTCTCGTTAGGGGCACATACACAACAGTTGATGTGGACAAGTTCTTACATATGGTGTTGCAAATTCCGAGATTCAAACAAAGGAGCTAGAAAATCAATAGAACAATAAGAAGGAACACAGAACTCATTTACTTCTTTATTCCATCAAATTTACATATGCTTAGGGCCTTCTTTTTATAGATGCATAGAATTATATATAGATAAGGAAAGAAGGTTTCTGTGGAAGAAATTTTCTAAGGCTACTCGAATATGGAGGATGATGTGAATTTAAACGATATTCAGGTGCCAGTCAGCTAACACAGATGAGCAGAAACCAAGGATGAATTTTTTAGACAATGCGAGCAACCTCCTCACTAGCTTGTTGAGTGGGGGAAAAATTGGGTCCATGCCGATTGCTGAAGGTGCTGTCTCTGATCTTTTTGGTCGACCACTTTTCTTCTCATTGCATGATTGGTTCTTAAAGGTACTGCATATTTCACGATTTACTCCTATTACATAGCTATTAACATCTCATTGTAGTGAGTATTTAATTATTTATATTTGGTTGTAGAGGAGTTTGTCATAGGTTGACGTAGACCGAAGAAGGGTTGGGGGGAGGTGTGGAGACAGAATTTGAGTCTTTTGCAGCTCACTAATGACTAATGACATAACCTTAGACATGAGAGTTTGGAGGTTGAGGATTAGAGTTGTAGGTAGTTGGGGTGCCGTACGTCTCTCTCTTGTTCCAGTTGTCTCGGGCTCTAGGAGTTGGCCTAGTTTAGTGGGGTATTTCCTTATTTTCTTTTAATTGTTTGTATATACTTTATCTTCCCCTCTTGCTCTTGTATTTGTTTTACATGTATTTTTGTTTTGAGCAACTTTAATCTGTTTCTTTTGCTTTTGTGGGCTGGGGTCTTTCGGAAACCTCTCTACCTTGTATAGTTAGAGGTATGGTCTTTCTACACCCACCCTAGTCCCCACTTGTGGGATTTCACTAGGCAGGTTGTTGTTCCATTTTAGTAAATATACCATTATCATTAGTTTCCCACAGTAAAACTAGATACAGATTAAGCCAAATATAAGGGAAATGCAACAAAAATATAAGCAGTGTACTGCCAGTTGCTTTTTGTCTTGAACTGCTTTATTGGTGATTGACCTCGGAAAAACAAAACAATGCTCTCCTTTCACTTGCAAACTACGTTCTTAGTTGTGTCATGTTTGAACAGCATTAACCTTTCCTTGGTAATTGTTTACGTTGAAACCCTGTTTTTTTCTGTATTTTAAATTTCTCTTTGGCTTTCACTGAATTGACAGTATGGCCCGGTGTACAAACTTGCTTTTGGGCCAAAAGCATTTGTTGTTGTATCAGATCCTATTGTTGCGAGGCATATTCTTCGTGAAAATGCATTCTCATATAGCAAGGTATGATATTGTAACTACTATTTTTCTTTTTCTAACCCTTAAGCTCTGGAGCATTTCTTATTTATACTGTTTTTCTCTTAATCTTTTAGACTATGTTTGGTTTGTGGAATTCAAAATGAAAAGAAAAAAAGTGATTTTCTCTCCTTTTCCTCACCGAAATGGAAGGAGATATGTTTTCCTTCTTTTTAGTTCATTTCTTTTTACATTTACTTTTCTTTTCCTCTCTCACCAAACAAGAAAAACTAATTTCCTTTGTATTTTCTTTTCCTTGTCAAATTCCTTGAACCAAACACAGTGTTAGAATTGAGATACTTTTGAATTTTGTGATCTACACGCTGCAATCTATAGCCTCACTTCTGGTATATCATAACATTTCTTATTTTCAAACAGGGAGTTCTTGCTGAAATTCTGGAACCTATAATGGGAAAAGGATTAATACCTGCTGACCTTGATACTTGGAAACAAAGAAGAAGAGGCAAGTTTGAATTTCAAGATGGGAGCTATGTTCTTTAAGCGGAAATTACTCAGCAACTACTTGCTACCTAGTACCTACACTAGATAGCCATTTGGTCAAAGGCGAAGTAGCATTTGGGACTTGTTACTCAGGACTCATGAGTATCTGTCTGACTACTAGCTCTTGTTTTAGTAAAATCTATGTATGCATGCACTCCCGAGCAATCAAGTGCTACTTGGCCTTTGACCAAATAGATATCTAGTGCCGACTGCCGAGTTACTCCCTGTGTCCCTCCATCCCTATTTCATTGTCCAATTTTAACTTTACACAGAGTTTAAGAAAAGTAAAATTGTGTGACTGAAATGTATGCAGAGGAGAAAAATTATATGGACCACACATTTAATGCTAGAAATGAGACTAAAAAAGGAACATCCCGAAAAGGGAAGTGGAACAGTAAAAAGGAAAGGGAAGGAGTAACAACTTAGGGTATCCGATGATTTAATCCTGAGATAAACCGTGCATTTCTTAAGCAACCCATTGCTCATAGCTTCTAATATTGTGTATGGAAATTTCTACATGACTACATAAATACATAATTAATGTATGTAATGAACTTAATTACAAATGCATCACAATTGGTTGCATTATCTAGTGATAATAACTCATAATAGTGTGGGCAAAGTAAAGGATATCTACAATTGGTTTGTAAGCAGGTAAAGTTACAACATAAGAGCATATGTTGGTTGACTTAATTTAATTGTTTCTTCTCATTACTTGTTTTTCTACTTTGTGGGCTTAAAACTTTAGGCTTGCACAACAAAAATAAAACTCGGTATAATTCCAACTTCGTTCGGGTTCAGACTTTAGAGGGTCAAGACGTATAACCTTACCCTTGTTTAGGTCATGACGTATAACCTTACTTTAGAGAAGTTCTTTCTATTAGACTTGCAGACTTTTAGCATTCTGTTTAGGTTAAGTCATATTTTATGTGCAATCATGATTTTTTTTATTTCATCTTGAATCCTTTAAACGTATGTACCTATTGTTAACTCATTTATGCAATTTGCAGTCATTGCTCCTGGATTCCACACTTCATACTTGGAAGCCATGACAGAAGTATTCACCAATTGTTCTGAAAGAACAATATTGAAATTTGAAAAGCTATTAGAAGGAGAAGAGTCAAAAGGTGGAAAAACAATTGAATTGGATCTTGAGTCAGAATTTTCAAATTTGGCTTTGGATATTATTGGTCTTGGCGTTTTCAATTATGATTTTGGTTCTGTCACCAAGGAATCACCTGTAATCAAGGTATGTGTTATAGTTCCGATGTGGACGTTGCATTTCACTCGAGGTGTTGAGCAGGCCAATGAGTTGTTCACAGAGTGATTGCTACATCTTTATTTCTCTCCCTTTTTTTTAAAGTTTGGTAGCAAATAAGCATGATGGGTAAATAAATATATGTTCTTTCTTCTGCCAATTGTGTAGCCAATTTTGTGTACTACACTACTACTATTATTCATGTCACATTGTTTGCATGGTGCCATGACCCCATTTCTTATGCAAGGACTATTCGACACAATATTAGGGAAGGAATAGGATAGTTAGTTACACATGGCATTTGGCATCTTATTCTCAGCAAATTCGTTTATCAGATTCCATAGAATATTAAGCTTGCAACCTTGCATGCATCATCTTACTAAATGATCTCACCATGGGTATGAGCTTAATGCGAATTAGATAATGCTTTATTATTCCTTTTCATAGTTTGCTTTACTTCCGGACGGCTAGGATGCCAGACGAGTAGAGGGAGAGCGTGTTGGTCCCTCTGTTTAAAGGTAAAGGCGACATTCAGAGTTGCGAGAATTACAAAGGTACTAGACTGCCTAGCCATACTATGAAGATTTGGGAGCGAGTCATCGAGTATAGGCTGCTAAAAAGGGTGTGCGTTTCCGAGAACCAATTTGGTTTCATACCTGGCAGATCGACCACTTAGGCCATTTATCTCGTGTGGAGGTTGATGGAAGAGTATATGGCTAGGAAGGAGGATCTTCATATGGTGTTTATTGGCCGTGAGAAGGCTTAAGATTGGGTGGCTAGGGAAGTCTTGTGGTGGTGTCTTGCAGAGTGTTGGGCGATTAAGAAGATTCACGTGCGGCGTCTGCATGTGACAGAGATGCAGATGTTGCGGTGGATGTGTGGGCAGATGAGGCTGGATAGAATTCCAAACGAAGTTATTCGAGGTTGGTTAAGCATGACGCTGGTGGAAGATAAGCTTCGGGAAGCTAGGTTGAAGTGGTTCGGTCATGTGAGACGGTGGAATGCTGACGCTCCAGTGCAGAGATGCGAGATGCTTATGTTGGTACGGAGAAGTAGGGGAAGGGGTAGACCTAGGAAGAGTTAGAAAGACGTGATTAGACAGGACTTAGAACTTCTTGCTCTTACCGAGGATATGAACTTTGATAGGAACATTTGGAGAGATATGATTAGAGTAGTTGAGTAGGTGCCTTGAGCTAAGGGGTGTTGTTGTTGTGTGCTTTGAGGCAAATGAACGATTCCCTCTGATTTGGAGGTATTGAAAATGAGGGGAGGGGAGGGAATTGGAGGCGAGATTTTAGCTCCCCTCCCATCTAAATTTTTTAACCAAACAAGGTGGGGGATTCATTTCCCTCCCCTCCAACCAAACAGGCCCTAAATATACTTAACCTTTCGTTTTAGCACGGAGTTTAAGAAAGTTAAGTGTGGTTGAGATTTATTTATAAAATAATGAAAAATATACCCTGAGTATATTTTATTTCCTTGAAAGGAAAAGGTTCTACTTGTGTGTGCATATGTTTTGTATACCAGTATTTAGGATGATTCAGAAATAAACAGATTTTTATTTTCAATGGGATATTCTCCATTATTGATTATTGGGAGCTGTTGATTGAGATTCCTGCTCAAATCCTTTTTAATAGATTTCATCCTATTTTCCTATCCAATTCCTCTTAGGACTCTGCCAGAAGTCGGAAGACATTATATTATACTCCGTACATGGTTATTGATTTAACTCCTCATTTTCCATACAAATAATAAACATGCCTGGGTTTTCAAATTGCAGGCAGTATATGGTACTCTGTTTGAAGCTGAGCATCGGTCCACATTCTATATTCCTTATTGGAGGATTCCTCTGGCAAGGTGGTTAGTGCCCCGTCAAAGAAAATTCCAGAAAGACCTTAAGGTCATAAATGACTGCCTAGATGGCCTCATAAAACTTGCCAAAGAGACCAGGCAGGTAAGAAGACTTTTGATATTTTTGAGCTTCCAAAATCCAAACTCCCAGTTCATAATTGTATTGCATTTGGAGTTTTCAGATGCTTTGTAATCTTGACCTCAATGTTGCGTATTACACTGGAACAATGAGGTACAAGATACAATTTATGTTTTAAAAACCTACCTAGGTGCTAGGCAGTGTCATGGATCCAAGTTTGTCTCTTAAACTGTAAAAGAGTTATCTTTTTTTATTGTAAGGGAACAAATAAACCTTGAGCTGGCATATCCATAAGGCTTGAGAAATTAAGGTTGAAATAAGGAAGAATTTATCATGTATGGAATTTTTTTGAATAGCCAAGAATATGATTTTTGAAAAGTACTACTTGTATATCATGTAATGACAAGCACTATATCAAGCCATAATACACACATACTAGCTAATTGTTTCTCAACAAAAAATGTTTCTCCCTCCGTCCCTAGATGCATGTCCACTTTGAGCAACATGGCAATTGAGAAAACAAAATCAGTGTTGAAAACTATTTATAGATTGAAACAATATGAACCCCATGGCTATGTTTGGTTCAAGGAGTTTGAGAGGGAAAAGAAAAGAAAATGAGAGGTAAAAGAAAAGAAAAGAGAAGTGGAAGGAAAAGAAAAGAGAAGTGGAAGGCAAAATGTACTAAGAGGAGGGAAAACCAAATTCCTCCCATTTTGATTATGAAAATGAGAGAAAACCATTTTCTTTTTTTTTCCTTCCAAATTACTTGAACCAAACATAGTGAAAAGTAAATAAGACATACTTTTGGACGGGTGGAGATGGAAGGTGAGATGATTATTTAGGGACAGAGGCAGTATCTTTACAAATTCTCAAAACAGATTGGATATCTGTACTGGGAATTTCTGTTTCACATTAATTGCATTCTCTGACAGGAAACAGATGTTGAGAAACTACAGCAGAGGGACTACCTAAACCTTAAGGTTTGAATTTATTTTGGCATATTGCAGCCTGTTTCTAATATGTTAGTGTTCATGCATAATACCCTGTGAAATTTAGATATCCAGATTAGTGAATTTTGGCTTAACTACAACAGTTTGCAGGATGCAAGCGTGTTGCGTTTTTTAGTTGATATGAGGGGTGCCGATGTTGATGATCATCAGGTGAAGTATTGTATACTTTCTTTATAAGTTATTTTTTATAAAAATAAAAATTTAATCCTCAACTAAATAAATAGATGGATTTCTTATTATTCATTCATCTATCATCTTATGCCAATCTATGTGGCTGGTCTTTGGTCTTTAGTGTAAAAACTCAAGCCGAATCATGCTGTTTTTGAATGTTCCGCATCAACGTCAATGCAGTACCAATCGTCTAATTCTTTTTATGCTCCTATTCTTTTCTTACCTGCATATCACTCTTTCATGAAATCTAATGTGACAGCTAAGAGATGACTTGATGACAATGCTTATTGCTGGCCACGAAACAGCTGCAGCTGTTCTTACTTGGGCTGTTTTTCTGCTATCGCAAGTATGGTTGATCAAAACCTGAAGATAAAATGTTTTTCAATCCTGTTTTTTTTCATATTATGGAATGGTTTGGAATCAAGTATGGGGTTTGAGATGGTATTGATTTGGAACTCCATTCCTTATACCTCATTCATTGTGTGCTGAAATACGGGCTTTTAGAATTGTATTGGGGATGGAATTAGAATTTGAGGAATTAAATTGTAGATGAAAATAGAGGTTGAGGAATTCAATCAGGGACACAACTACAACAATAAATTGGGGGGGGGGAGGGGGGAGGTGGAAGGGATTGAATGGTCAAAATGAAATTTGTAAAAAACGAGAGTTTGAGAAAGAGGGAGAGGTTGGTGGAGGTCCTGGTCGGACAGAAATGACCATCCTTCATTTTATGAAAACTAATTTTAAGGAGAACTTGGTATGAATCACCTAAGAACTATTCCTCATTATAAATAGCACCTTTATATTTTTTTTTAAAAGCCACCTATATTATTGTTTTCGATTGAGTGGAACCACCAAACAACGAAATCTGGTAAAAAGTAACTTGTTCTTCCTGATTGGCCCTTCACCTTTTTATTTTCTAACTTTCTTTCTATGCTCCCACTCCTTATCTCCAGCTTCTTCCTCAAAAAAAGTCCTAGAAGCCACAACGTCAACTCCAACGTTGGCTTGCCTTCCTAGGGATTCAATTCTTCCTTCAATAATTAAGTTCGGTCCGCACTCATCACCAAATTGGTTATGGGTATGGGTGCACTTTGGGATCAAGTAATTTATGGTCAGAATTTGTTATTTGGTGGTTACACAGTTTCCACTCAATCATAATAACAATATAGGTGGTTCTTTTTATACTACTTCTGTCCCAAAATGGATGACTGCTCAAACAACGTGCAAAATCTCATCACTTTTAAAATCAATGTAATTAAAAATTGCTAGAAAAATAAAAAGTACAAATTGCACCGTTCAAAAGCACATTGAGAGTTCTACATAAATAGAGGTGACAAGAATATTTTATTTTATCAAATGATCAATGAAAAAATTCAAAGAAACAAAAGTTATCGAGAGAATGTAATAGTAACAGTGCAATCGATTTTGGGATGGAGGGAGTATGTTTTTACAAGGGTGTTATTTGCAAAATGAGATATTTATTAGGTACCTCTAACTGAATTTTCCATTCATCAGTATATATATTTTAATATTTATCTATGGGGTTTTGATTAAATATGCTATATTTTGTGCAGCATCCATCTAAAATGAAGAAAGCCCAGGTGGAAATAGACACTGTACTTGGGCAGGGAAGAACAACCTTTGAATCAGTCAAAAAATTGGTGTAGGTCATGAAACTCTTTGAATTTTTTCTGGTACCATAACATGTGACTACAATACAAGTATGAGTAAAACAAAAATCTCAAGAATTTGTCTTATACATATTGCTAGAATGATTAGCCATTTTCCCTTAAATTAATTGTGAAGAAACAGCTATTGTCCCTCATTTGATACTGTTTATCCACATCTTGATCCCTCACTGTCATGAATGAGCAAATGTTACTTCAACGATTCCAAATTGTTACAATTTGAGTCACTCTGATGATGAACTCAGCTCATTGGTCAGCTGAGAAATTTATGAGGAAGCTTCTGAAATGAGACAACAGCTTTCCAATTTACCCCTGCAAAGCACACACACTAATCAGTTGACTCTACCAAAAGGGCTGAAGTTGTAACCATGTGAAACAGTTGATGCTGACATTTTTATCCATAAAAAATGGACTAAAATGGTTGAATGCAAAATATTTAATGGCCAACATTGCACCCCAACCCAACTCTCCAAAATAACTACACATAAATTGGTGGCGTAGAGTGTAGTTCCAAGTATCTATATACTTCTATGCTAGCTGGCATTTCATCAAGTCTGTGTTCGTGTTATATGTGATCTATCATGCTTCTTGATCCTTAATAATAAGTGTGCTCCTGGATTTCAGCTACTTACGACTTATTGTTGTGGAAGCTCTGCGTTTGTACCCACAGCCTCCATTGCTTATCAGGCGCTCTCTTAGACCAGATAAATTACCAGGTACGTTATTACTTATTTTGAGTTTTGACAGAACCATATAAGCTTCTCAATAAAATATTTACTTTTGAATTATTTAGTTTGTTATATATGTAAGTATCCACATTGATGGGTTATGGGGCCATAGTCTAGGTTATAAAGTTTGGCAAATATCCACCTCTTGAGAATCCTTTTTGGTTAGAGTTAAGCCCAATTAACAATATGGTTGATTTCTTTAAAAAACAATAGGCTTGATTAATCTTCTCTTTGTGAAAGGTATGAATATTTGACCAATCACTGAAAACTAGACACGATGGACTCTTGGAGCGCTCATGCCAAGGCAAACTGTAGAGACACACTAGTGCATTCACAGTTAAATAGTTATTCACTTCATCAACATTATCAATTCCATCTCTTCCTTAACGTTTATCAAACTTTCTTTGTTTGGTCGTTCTAAGATGTTCTTCACATTTCCTTTTAGAGAAATAATTGTGTGGTCAATCTTGATACTTTTCTTTTTAAATAAATCTCAATGAAGCCACACAATTTCACTTGCATGAACAAATAGGGACAAATGGAATGGTGTAGTTTTTTCTTGGTAATTTGAAGAATTCATTGTTTAAAATGAAGGGAACACCAACTCTATAATGTTCACAGACACACACACTCAAGAAGAATCTTTAGCCGTCATTCTAAAATCTAATGGCAGTTCATACATATTCTAGTTCTGCAGTACAGAGGATTTTTTTTTACAATGCTTTGACTTTGGGTAAATAATGGACTAAATCAAAATGGCACATTAAACTTCTCTTGTTTCTTACTTTCTATAATGTTTTGGTTAGTGAACACGTCAATGCATCAAGGGTCTAATTAAAACAACCTATCTGTTTTTACAAGGGTAAGGTTGTGTACATCTTGACTCCCCAAACCTCGATGGAGTTGGAAACTTGGAACTATACTGGGAATCTGGGATGTTGTTACAGCCTGGACTCCCTGGAGTATTTCTTTTGGCTTTATTGGGGTGTATTCCTTTTCTTTTTCATCCATTTTACCTACTCTGAACTTCTTTAGGTGAATATGGTATACACGGGGTATATGGTATAGACACTGTCCTATGATAAATCTGCTTTCTTGAACAGACTTGAACACCAAATTTGATGGATTTTGTGAAAACATGATAAATGAAATAACAGACATAACTTCTAGGATATGGCATGGGATCACCTCGGAATCTTGGAACATTGTTTAGATCTTGATGACAGCATTGCTTATGTCATCATGACATCATTGTGTTTTATATATATCGGCCCTTGTACCAATCAGTTTTAGAGACATTAATTAAACTATCTCTCAACATAGAGCATAGATTCCATATAGATCTCAAAAGCTCTAATGATAACCCTTTTGAAAAAAGGAGTTCTAATGATGAATTTGCTTTGTTGAACAAACTTGAAGCACACCTAAATTGGCAGGATTTCTAGTATCATAAAATTTGCTTTTGAAACCATTGTGTTTGAATTACAATATGAACTGAAATATGTAAACCTTAGAAGTTAGAAGAACCCTGCAACCATGATCTTTTTTCTTAACTCTTAAGCATCTGCTGTCCTTTTTTTTTGAAAAGCATATGCTTTCCTTATATCCTGAATTGTTTATGCAACTATGAAGGAGGTTACAATGGAAACAAGGATGGATATGCAATTCCAGCTGGTACGGATGTATTCCTTTCTGTAAGTTTGTTACTTCTTTCATCTCATTGTGTTGTGTTCTGAATAATATGTTTGAGGACTCATTAGGTTAGAGATCATCTAAGAGATGCCTGAGCAATACCCTAAAAGGTATGATAATCCCCATGAATTTTAAGGTTTCACTTTCACATTGAAACAGGTGTATAATCTCCATAGGTCACCATACTTCTGGGACAAGCCGGACGAGTTTGAACCTGAGAGATTTCAAATTCGAAAGGAAAGTGAAGGAATTGATGGGTGGGCCGGGTTTGATCCATCTAGAAGCCCGGGAGCGTTATACCCTAATGAGGTCAGCTTGTCTTGACTCCATTAAATCATGCATTCATGTTGATTTTACAATATCATTTCTTCAATGGCACATGACTAGCAAGTAGCAACTCCATCCAATTGAAATTTTAATCTTGTATTGAACTTTTCCTACCCTAATTATGATTGTTTAATTTCATTCTTCCTCCGTCCCTAAATGTTTACCACATTTTGAAAAATGAGGAAAAATATCATGTTTTTTCAATTCATTTTATTTAAATATTGGTATAGAAATAAAAAAATTACATATTCAAAAACTACATGAAAAATTCTTCGAAAGAAGAGGTGTCGAGAATATTTTTATTTTATCAAATAATCAATAAAAACGTACAAATAAACAAAAATTCTTGTGATTGTTGAAAAAGGAAATGTGGCAAACATTTTGGGACGGAGGAAGTATCATTTAAATTCAACTCCATGATACAAGTCCTGTATGATCCCAACTCTTTTGGGGCGTGGGGGTCAAGATGTACACACTTACTGCCCAAAGCTTTTTAGAAAGAAAGTGAAGTTTGATGTGTCATTTGGATCTAGTTCATTATTTACTTTAAGCTGAAAAATGCCAAAAGGACTCCAATGTGGGCTTAGTGTAATAGAAGATTTGATCCCTTCAAATACTTTCTGTAAGTTCATGGCTTGAAATTTTCTTACCCCAAGTGACATTGAGGTGACATGTTCAAGTGATGAAAGCAAAATGCAATGTTTGCCTACATCATCCCCTTGTGGTGGGACCCTTCCCCGTACCCTCGCTAAGTGTGTACCCTTTATGCACGAGGTTGCCCTCTTTATTAACTTATACACTAACTCGAGACTTGAAGTAGGGGTAAGACCTGCGCACACATTCCCTCCACAGACCCTACTCTTGTGGGACCAAACGGGGTTGTTATTGTTGTACTCAAGACTTGAAATTTTCACACCCGAATACGTAGTATAGTAGGGATCAAGTTGTTGATGATCATGATCAACAAGAGTTGTAGTTGCTGATGGGGCCTGTTGGCTCTTGTGTGATCAGATCATATCAGACTTTGCATTCTTGCCTTTTGGTGGTGGACCAAGAAAATGTGTAGGGGACCAATTTGCCCTCATGGAATCAACCATAGCATTGGCAATGCTGCTTCAGAAGTTTGACATCAAGTTGAAAGGGTCACCGGAGTCTGTGGAGCTCGTTACTGGTGCAACCATTCATACAAAGAATGGGTTATGGTGCAAATTGAAGAAGAGGTCAAATTCTGCACTTAAAATCTCTCTTTAACTTCCAAATCCATAAAGTTCATTGGATGTTCTTCTTTGGTACCACACTGTAAAATCTTATGTAAATGCAATTTATTGGTTGTAGGAGTATTTTATTCAGAGTCCTGAAATTCCCAAAGATATGTTTGATTTTGTGTCTAGTCCCCTTGTTCCAAAATGAAGTTTATATCATCAAAAAAAATATGTGGCTCACCATATTTCTTCTCGAGTCTAATTTTAACCATATATTTTTTTTATTTTTCAGTATTTTTAAAAACTTTTTGAAGCCAAATCGATAAACTTTGTTTTGGGATAGAAGAGGGAGTACTCCCTCCGTCCTATAATGATCTTCCCGGTTCATTTTACGAGGTTTGACCGACTTTATTTTCAATTCAATTTATTTGATTGTAGGTGTAAAATTAAAAAATAAAATTATATATTTAAAAACTACATCAAAAGTTTTACAAAATAAGTGGTGACAAGATTATATTATTTTATCAAATACCTAACGAAAATAGGTAAAGAAAGTGATTAAAGTTTGACCGGGTAAAAAGTGAGTGGGAAGAACATTTTAGGACGGATGGAGTATGTTTTAGCGGTGTGACTTGAGGTTGGGCGTTTGCTGTTCTTTAAACTATTTCGATTTTTTATTTTTTTTAATAAAAATTAGAAAAATGAAAAACAAAATTAAATTTTGAAATAAATAAAAATTAGAAAAATTGAGTAATAAAGGGAAAGGTGAGGGGTGTTATATAAATCTAAATTAATAAAACATTTTATGTAACTATTTTATCCATAATTTTTTTATATACTTTATATAGTTTAAAAAGTTGAAGAAAAAATAATAATGAGTGTGAATCGTAAGAATAGTGAGATGAAAAAAATGAAATAATTCATAAACTATAGTTATGAACATAAAAGTTGTAATAATAATATTATTATTGTTATAAATATATTATTTTTAGAGTAATTAATTGGGGAGTAGAAAGAGTTTGAAGAAAATAAGAATAGTTGGAAGAAACTAGAAGGACTCGAAGAACTAGAACTGAAAGAAACTTGAAGGAACGAGAAGAAATTAGAAGTTAAGAGTTTAAACTCTAGAGTACAGACTCTTAATGCAAACTGACCATTTTAAGACGGTATATATGCATAGTACAGTAGCTTAAATAGTCTTTTATGAAGGAAAAAAAACAAAACTAAAAATAAAATAAAAGCTCCATAATTTTAAGAGTAATTTCTAAAATGGTCCTTTCTAATAAAGTATTTTCTCAAATTGTCCTCAATAAGTAATAATTACGAGTATGATCCTCTATAATTGAGATGCATTTCCTAAATAATCCTCTACCAAATATGTCTATTAAATGACAGACAAATAAAATGTATCTTGCTATTTTCTATCAACTAGATCTAAAATATGTTTTCGAAATACTCTTTTTTAATTAAATGTTTTTCTAAACTGATACGTAGTAATTTTCAAGTAATTTTTTTCCCGAAATTGAGTCCATGAGCTTATTCGGGGTGGGCTCGTTCCTCTAGCAGCCACCCAATTGATTTGAAAGGACAATTTTAAAGATTTATTCATAATTTAGATGATAAATAATATAAAAATATTTTTAATTTAACTGTTATTTAATAGGTATTTTTGACATAGGATTTTTTAGAGAATACTTTCTCCGTCCTATATCTTTCTTCCCGTTGCGCAAAACGAAAAAAAATCCCAAGTTTTTTCAATCTATTTTATTTAAATATTAGTATAGAAATAAAAAATAAAACATACATATTTAAAAATTGCATCAAAAGTTCAACAAAACAAGTGGTGACAAGAATATTTTATTTTATCATATAGGCCATGAAAAACACAAATAAATATAAATTCCCGTGAAGTTAGAATAGTGCTCTGGGAAGAAAGTTTTAGGACGGAGGAAGTACTTTTCAATTACAAAGGATTATGTTGGTGATTATTGTTTATTGAAGACCAATTTGAGAAAACATGTTATTAAAAAGGATTATTTTGATAATTTAGACTACTTTTAATTTTGAAAAAGATTAATCTAAAAATAGAATATATCTCCACGACTACATAATTCATCCAAATAGAAAGCTCCAGCTAGATCGGATCGAATCCCCGGGAAGGAGACGAGCAAAGCCAGAGTCTGAAAATGGTAATTCTTCTTCCCCTTCCACCTCCGATCAAACTTTTCCTTTACACTCCGCAGTTCTCCCACTAAATTTTGCGATCGACAGGTCTGCTTGGCGTGCCTGTTGCCGCTCTTCCTCGTCCCAGTTGTGAACTTCTTGCCGCTTCTCTTCGATTTCATCATGGTAAGTGACTAACAGCTCCCCTCCTCTCGTTTTTGGATCTTCAAGAGCTTATTTTATCAATCTGATCTCTATTTCTGAAACTGTTTGTTTTTTTGTAGTCCTTTAGGCTCCGTTTGGTACACGGAATTCAAGCCATGTAATTGGAATTGGGGATTGCAATTCTAATTCTGCTGTTTGGAAGCACAAAAATATGTATATTCAGAATTAGTAGTGCAAAAAGTGAAATGGAAATGGAGAATTCAATTCCATCCAATTCAACTCTATAGAATTATAATTCCAATTTTGTGTACCAAACGGACCCTTAAAGCCCGTTTGGTATGCGGAATTGATGGGATTGGAATTGAATTGGAATTGAAATTCCATGGGATTCAATTCCATAGAATAGAATTCACCAATTCCAATTCATTTTTTGAAATGTCATTTCCAAATCTAGATAATTTTTGTGCTACCAAACACCAGAATTGGAATTGAAGTCCTCAATTCCAATTCCATAGTTTGAATTCCGTGTACCAAATGGGGCCTTAGTACTCTTTCTGTGAATTTTTTACAGGCGAAGGTTTACAGAATATTTGGGAAGGAGTATCAGAAACCTGCAAGAGTCCCTCCTGCTTGTCCTTATAAACCTCCTGCCAATAAATCCGTAAGTCGTTTACTACTCTCGGAATCTTTTGCTGAGTATATCTTTAACTTGTTTATGGATCTCAGCGACATGGTTTATTGAACGAGTTTTCATGGAACTTTAAAAGAAACAAAGGAGGTTAGGATGAAAATTGAAATGATGAACTTGTGAATAATGCTCAAGTTTTTGACTTATTTTAAACCAAATGAATAAAATTTCAAAAGAAGTAATAGTGTATGTTCTAGTAAAGTATGTTTGGACTTCATTATTAATGCAGAAATTTGAATATTATGAATATACGGAGTATCATGTGATGGAATAATGAGTGATGGACAAAGTACATATATTTACCTTTTTATGAGTTTAACGTGTTTAAAATATGAGAAGGAATATTTTTTTCCCATTTACTTTTTTTTATACCATTTGACCCCACCATTTAATCTCCACCATCAATAGCCACCAATAACTTCCTTTAACCCATCTTTTACATCAAAGTCTTTTGTCTTTAACCCATGCCAACTGATTGGCATCAGGTATATACACAAACACATCCAAAGAGGAAAGGAAATTATGATGTAAAACACATCCAAGGAATCAATTTCCTATATGCATTGTTAGTCCAGAATAATGAAGGAAATTCTTGTTTCGTACACTGAGCAAAAAGGCACAAAATTATAACAATCGCCGTCAGAGTCAGAAGCAGCGAGGAAGCTGCTAGTTAATTTTTCTTCAAAAAAAAGAAAGATCATTAGTACTGATAAGCAAATACTCTCTTAAAAAAGCATACCATTTTTCAGATTTTTGTCATTTAAAAGGAACTTTATACACATATAGTCACAAATACAAAATGCATATGGATTGAAGTGAGCAATAAGCTTAGCAAAAAACCAAAAAAAAAGGCTTCATGTCCAAGAAAATTGGATTGAGGTGTCCTCTTATGTTTTTTAGGGCAGTTTCGTGAGTCGTGTCCATGCCCTTCACAGGACCTACAAGTTCTTATCTTTGCTTGCGCTTTTTCTATTCCAGTTTTGAAATGACTGTCAAGAGACTTTGCTTCTTTTGGCAAACCCTTAGTCTGTGAAACTTGTTGATCACGGAGAATACTTGTGAAAGCTAGAGTACATGTTTGGATGAGATTCATATATGTAGTACATGTCTTTTCTTTTCCAATGCCATCCTCACTATCAAATATCAAGGCTATCCTCGACAACAGGCATATCATTTTCATTCTATGTGAAAGCTTATTTTGAAGCCAAAAAGTATAGTTTGTTAACACCTTTGATAACAATTTCTTTTTGACATCAAATTCCCTTTTAAAAGCAAAACATTCAATCATATTTTATGTATAGTTTACTACGCATTTACCGCTGCAAGATTCCAGTATTCAAAATCCAAGGTTCCAAGATTCAGAGCTCATGCAAATTTTCAGATTGTAGAGTCGTGTTTCAAATCTAAAATCCAAAATATAAAGCTAGGAAAACATCTGCGGAGCTTCAGATTTGGATTTTATTTTTGTAATTTCTGTTTGGGAATGTCTACTGCTGAAGGTGGAAGTCAAAGCAAGGAAAATAATGAAGGAGGAGCTCGGAAAATGAAATACCCAAGGAACAAACCCTCCCGCTTGTTGGGAATAACTGAGGAACCGCAAAACACAATGCTATTGTTTCTTTATGCTTTCTCTTATTATTTATCTGATTGGACAAAGTACCAAAACTAACCCTACGTAGTCATGTCTGCCAATAGAACTATACAATTTAATCTTGTATATAAACAAGGACGCTTTCGTGTTTCACAGGTTTCTATGGAACCCTTTCCCGTGGATCAAGATACTATCAATGGAGATGATCATGGCAAGAAGGCATAAGCGTCGCCTGCAATTCTTACACTGTATTTTGTTTCTGTAAGCTCTTACTCAGTATGTTTAACACAAATAAACGCTGTTGCTGGTTAAGATTACTCTCCTTTTTTTGTATATGGGAGGGAAACTCCAGACCTTTTAAACTGGCTATGAGTAGGCTTGGAAAATGGGTCGTTTATGTCGATTATGGATATGGTTTGCTTCTGGTCATGTATTGTTTTGATCAATAGATTTCAGATCAGGTCTGAATTTGGTTTGGAGAATGTTCGGATCAATGTTCTTCAATTCGGGTTCAGTTCCGGATTAATTATGTCCGGATTGGGTCATGGTTGACGATTTGGGTTGGTTTGGGTCAATCTTGTTTTGGGTATGTTTCGGTTCAGATTTTTTGTCTTTGTACTTAATAAATTGTACGAGTAAAACTAAAATGAATTAACCTAGGGGTACACCAACACGGGGTATTCCATTTGTACATCAAGTTAACATAGACACAGACACACATAGACACAAAATATCTGTGCTACACAGACATTTTATATGATTAATAATAATACCTTCTAATTGTGTTATTTTGAATTATTTGAATGTTTGAGCAAAAATTTACTCCGTATTAGTTTTTTGTCATTTCTTATTGTGTTTGTAAAAAAAGGTTATTAGCTACCACTACAATGTGTATTAGTTACAGAATTTTCCATTGCTGTCATTTTTTTAATAATTTTTATAATTAATAATAATGATATATAAATCATTTGAATGTTAGATATACAGTTTATTATTCTGGTAATTTTCTTCGTTTGCTTGCTAATCTTTGCTGGGACTAATAATATATGCTGTATTTTATGTATTCTGATCTCTATTGCGTATATATAAGGAAGCGTTGAGTTGTTTTTGTTCAAAATCTAATTTGTGCATGCTATATTTTGAAAATTTCTGCACTATTTTGAGCTTAATTACATGCTATTTTGTGTGGTCTATTTTAAAAAATCTTTATATATAAAATTTGAGAGTTGGGCTTTTAGGATTGTGACATGTGGCACACTTATTAGACAACTTTTTTGACATGTCAGCAAGTAATATTTAAAGAATTAGTTAACAAAAACACTTATTTTATGGGAATTGAATTTCGTATTTGTTAAACATAGATTTCTCAGCATAATCGCGTTTAAAAACTTTTATATTTTATTTCCTTATTGGAAAATATTTAAATTAAATAATCCTTTCCTATAATAAAGATGACTCCGATTTAAAGCAATTCGACATTTGACATGTCTATTTGGCAAAACTTTAACATGTCAACGCCACGTAATAACTGAGTAAAATTTAAAGAATATTATATACAGAGTAAGAAACTGATGCTGATTAAATTGATGGCCTTAAAGATATTAATTGATAAAAAGGTTTAAATAATTTTCATATACATGTTTATACCACGAAGGTTAAAAGGCAAAAAAATTATATACGATCCCCAATGCAATGTTTATTATATAGCACATGGCTTATTTTTATTAAAAAGAAAACAAATGATAAAAAGTATTCATGCACACCTCAAATTTTAACATGTTTGAGGTTAACATTATTTTTCAAATACTTCTACATTATTGAAAAACCTACTAGCAACTTGAATTCACCAAAAAAATAAACGACCATAATATTGATGTAAAAAATACTCTGATGTTTATTTGAAACAAAAAAATATATCATACCCAAACACTATTTTCTTTAAAAATAAAATTGAATAATATAAATTTGATATTTCAAAATCTTTTTGAAAATAGAAATGTATTCTATGTATATTAAAATGCAACAAAAATATGAATGGAAAAATAATGCATTTTTTTAGTATAACACATACCTTATTTATATTAAAAAAGAAAAAAAACCGAATAATAATTTGACTTTTCCAAAAATTAAAAAAATAACTTAATAAATTAATGAAAAAAATTTAAAAAAAACATGTGGTTGAAATTTATTTAAAAAAAGAAATGATACTCAAATTCTTTTCCTTAACAAAAAGAAAATGGTAAAATTTAAAATTTATTTTTAATTTTTTTAAAATAATAATAAGAACAATGAACATATCTTTTATATACCCTGAAGTCTTTCAGAAAATTTGGTATTAATTTTTTTTTGTGTTGTACATAATCAATCCCTCAAATATTATTTATTCCACTTTGGTTTTTTCTATGATATTAAATATCATGCGAGAAGTATATTTTCTTTATTCTTGAAAAAATATTGCTTTAAATTTTATTTTGAATCGACAAAAAGTTTCGTTCCACCCGTGCATGGCACGGGTTCAAATACTAGTAATATAAATATGTCACCTCTTGTTTTGTAAAATATTTGATGTAACTTTTGAATATATAAATATTAGTTTTAAAGTCGTTATCAATTTTTAAATAAATTGAATCGAAAAATAACTTTAGTCACATATTGTAAATAATAATAGGCGACTCTTTTCGGGACAAAGGAAGCATAAAAGACAATCATATATGATGCTTAAAAAATAATTATATAGCACAAACTAAAAAATTTTTAGAAAATTACAATGAATTACATTTGATTTCAACATATATTTTTGTTCCAATGTTAAAAGTTTGCAACAACAACAAAGCCTTATCCCACTAGGTGGGATCGGCTAAGTAGATCAAGTGTCATCACTATACTCATTTGCACCCCATCTTTGAGGGCCTCTTAGCACCGACTTGACAGTTAGCTGAGAGAAGGTAAATTGAGCTAAATTCTCAGTTATTGGCATAAGAGTGGGGTTCCACGCATGATACTTGCAGAAGTCTAATGTTTTGCATGGTTGCTTCTCATTGCTGCCACCATGCTTCGAACTCCGGATCTCTCCCTTGTAGCACTCCTATGCCTACCACTGAGCTATGCTTCACTGGTTGCTTCATTTTTAACAAGAGTTGTTTGGTGAAGGAACTGTATCTTAACTAAGAGCTTCCCTTAAGCACCCCACTAAGGTGAACTTCTGCCATGTTTATATCTTCATTTCTTATTTTATCCATATACGCATGATTTGACATATATAGAGATATAAATAATATATATTTTCTTTCTTTATTTTTTTCATTGGTTCCTTTTTTTGTTCTTCTTTTACCCTTTGTGTTTTTATTCATTCTATGTGCTTTTTATTTTGCTTGAATTAAGAGCTTGTTGGAAACAATATATCTCCTTTCAAGCAGAGGTAAGATTTGTGTACACACTCTTTCCAAATCTAGAATTATAGTAAGTTTGGTGAATTAATAAATGCCAACTTTTACCAATTTGAAAAATGTTAGGGGTACACCAAAAAAATGTAACCCAAGTATACACAACTACATCTCTTCTATGAAGAAAATTAGAAAATAGATTAAATTATATAGTGATGATTGACGATGTACAAATGGGGTACACCATTAGGGGTGCAAATGGATATTTATATGATCGGATGTGCCATAACCAGATTTGTATCCATTTATTTTTATTGGATATCGAATTTGGATACGAATCTTGACAGATACTAAAAATCAAAACGTATTCGCATCTGTCAGATATCAGATATATCCGTATCAATTTCTAATTTTTAAAGTCAAATTGAACAATACTTTGTTTTCTAATTAAATTAAGTCAAAATATTATTCATTCAATTGTAATTTTTTATGGAATTTTCCTAAAAAAATTATTACATAGTAAATTTTTTTCTTATATAATTTACCCGAGTATAATATTTTAAGACAACTCCATATGGTAAAAATATATACATAGTACACATGCACATATATTTTTATGTGTCTAAACTTATTTTTATGTGTCTACACATATATTTTATATATAAAGATATCTTATACTTTGAGATGTTAATAAAAAAAGTATAAAAATAAAAAAACTATATATAACGGATGAGATACATAAATAAACGGTAACTTAAATTAATGTTTGTGCGAAGCACATTATAAATGGATCCGATATATGACTACCAAGTATGTATTTCGTTTACCAATAAAATATACTTAATCAGATACACAGATAACTGATGCGAATATTTTTCGTATTGATCGGATATGGTACCCATTTTCCTAGAAATTGCCGAGTGAGATTCCTTTTGTGCGTGTGGGTCTACAAAACGAATGAAGGAAAGGAAAGCAATGAGTCGTCAAAAGTCTACAAACAAGCGTGGCCTGGCGTGCCCGGACCGGAGCAGAGACTGAAGTCGTCGAGAAAGAGACGATGGGAGAGATCGCCGGAGTTCCGTCGGAGGCGGCAGATCGCCAATTACCCGGCACCGACATCATCTGTAACGGTAACAATATCCATAGCTCAATTCCCCGCGCTCCGCCGCCGACTGATCGCCCTGTCCGCGTCTACGCCGACGGGATCTACGATCTCTTCCATTTCGGCCATGCTCGATCTCTGGAACAAGCTAAGAAATCGTGCGTTTTTATTTTTTATTTCATCGCGATCACGAATAGGTTATTGTTGATGTTCATCCTAACTTCATTGACTGATCCCTACATGTTGAATCTGATTGCTTTTAGGTTTCCCAACACGTACTTGCTGGTGGGATGCTGCAGTGATGCGGTCACGCACAAGTTCAAGGGCAAAACTGTCATGACCGAAGAGGAACGCTATGAATCCCTCCGCCATTGCAAGTAATTTTCTTCTTCTTCTTCTTTTTTGTTTACTCTGTCGAGGTCTCGCTTGCTTTACCTTTTCCATGAATTCAACTTCTTCGTTTTCAAACAGTTTTTTGTTCATCTGAATCTCACTGATAATGCTGCTTCCTGGATCATATTCATCATTTCCAGAAACTGTATTGATGCTGAATGCGCTTCTGTGATTTTTAGGTGGGTGGATGAAGTTATTCCTGATGCCCCATGGGTTATAAATCAAGAATTCCTAGACAAGCATAAAATTGACTTTGTGGCCCATGATGCTCTTCCGTAAGAAGTTTTCCTCTTTTTGCATTTATGTTGATGCTTTTATCATAAGATGTCTAGTGGACTTCCAATGCATCCAATTTTAGTCTGTTGTTAATTTTTTTGTTGGTTATTTCAATATCTTTACAGTTACGCCGATGCTAGTGGAGCAGGAAATGATGTCTATGAATTTGTATGTATGATTAAGATGTAGATGATGTTAATGGCTTCTATTCTTATTTATGAAAATCAAATGTGATGAAGATAAGGAGATGTTCCTACCTATACTGAACTTTATGTCTCTTAGATGCGGTGGATATCAGATTTTCAATGCGGAATTGTTGCTTCTACAGGTCAAAGCTGTTGGGAGATTTAAAGAAACAAAGCGCACTGAAGGGATTTCTACTTCAGACATTATTATGAGGATAGTTAAAGACTATAACCAGTATGTCATCCGCAACCTGGATCGCGGATATTCAAGAAAAGAACTTGGAGTCAGCTATGTGAAGGCATGATCAGTTCGCCCTTTCTGTTATTGCATCATTTAATTGTTAAAAAGGATATTATATAAGACATGATCTTCTTTATTCAACTCTTCCATTTTTCTTTTGCAATCTGCAAGAGCTGAGAAGTACTCGTAATTTTTATCTGGGAGCAGGAAAAACGCCTTAGGGTGAACATGGGACTGAAGAAGCTACAGGAGAAGGTCAAGGAGCATCAAGAGAAAGTAGGAGAAAAGGTATTAAATCTGTGGAGATAAATTCCTTCACTTTCACCACAGATGTCTACTATTACTTCTATGGTACAGATTGGTACATAAATTGTTTTCTCTGACATATATTTTGTGCTAATAGAGTGGGGTGTAGAATCTATGCTTTATTTTACTTGACTCTGCTTTGATCTATCTATGCTTTTTTGAGCCGGAAATCTCTTTGAAACAACCTCTCTGCTTCCTAGTTGGGCCTTAGGGGTAAAGTCTTTGACTCTCTGTACATACACCCGGCCCCGGACCCTACTTCTATGGGATTCTACTAGGTTTGCTTGTTGTTGCTAATAGAGTGGGGCTTAGATTGTATGCTGAAAACTATCAAATAATGATTTTGATCACCTTTAATATCATGTCCACCCTCTGACATCGCCAGATTTCTCTGCTGTTATTTCAGTATTGTATGATATAAGCAAGACAAACCTTGAACAGACAACTGGGTATTCAATCAACCTGGATATTTTTTGTGTCTCATTGTTATCGATTCTGACTCAAGCTTTTGTTGCTCACATTCACCCATCCATGAATAGTTTAAGAAACCCTTCTCGTTTATTTAAACTGAGACCCCGGAAATGTTTCTGTGCCGTGTGTTTCGTGTAAGATTGATACCACTTTTCTATGTCATGAAATGTGGTTTAGTTTTCAGTCATGTTACAAGCATGACTAATTAATGTGGTTTGGTTTTTATCAATTTTTTTGGGGACTTTCCTGTAATCATCATCTTTATCACCAATTCACCACCAGCAGCACCATCATTGTCACCAATCCACCACCGCCACCACTATCATCATCGTGTGGTGCCACTTTAAATAGTGCTTTTTGCTGGACTAAATGCATAGACCACTTCCAAATTTTTTCAGATTCAAATTGTTGCAAAAACTGCGGGCATGCATCGCAACGAGTGGATTGAAAATGCTGACCGGTTGGTTGCTGGGTTTCTGGAAATGTTTGAGGAGGGCTGTCATAAAATGGTAAGCAGAACTGATGCAAAACCTATATTCAGGTACTATGTTTCAAGTCGTATCGGATATAAAAAACTTTCTATTTTTCTTTTTCGGATCTCCCCAAGGGAACGGCCATAAGGGACCGAATTCAAGAACAGTTGAGAGGTCATCAGCAGAGAGGTCTGCTCGAATATGGGAGCGAAGAAGAGGAAGAAGAAGATTACTATTATGACGAAGAAGAAGAAGAGGAAGACGATGTGGAATGTTTCTATGAAGATTACAATGAGGACCCAAAGAAATAGTAATACTGATCCATTTTGCTGTTGTGATCTATTTTCTAACTGCTAATCTGGTTAAACTCATGTGATTTGCCATATGTTGTATGAAAATCTAGGCTTGTCACATCAAAAGGGTATAACGATTGTGCAGGTTGTGGGGGTGGGGTATCTTTTCCCTTCATGATTTATATATATAGTGCAGCAATCAAATGCAGCGTAGGTGTGTTTGGTTTGTTACTGTAAGGGGAAAATTGAGCTTTAATACCATGTGCTTTGATTAAAATATTCAAACTCCCCGGCGTTTGGGTCTGTTTGGGAATAACGTTTCCATTTGACGCTCGTAGATTTGGACACCTTCCGTTTCTTTACTTGTGAGTAAATACTGAAGTAGGTTCTGACTTTGTTATAGATTAGTATTAATGTTTTGAATGATTTTTTAATGGATAGATTATTGTTGAAAACATTGTAACATTTTGAAAATAATATCCTAACAATAGTTTTTTTTACTTTTGTGTTTAGGTTGTAAAGGGTGCATTTGGCATAAATTTAAACATTTAATTTTAGCTTCTGGAAATGTTTTTTAGTTGATAAATATTAGCGCCAATATTTTATAGAAAAATGCTAGAGTCACAAATAAACAGTTCACAAACTTCACAAACTTGCCTTTTGTGGATTTTAAATTAAAATATCTTTTACTAGTTCAGTGTATTATATTTCCATCATGCACACAAACATAGCACAATCAACACCACAGCCATTTTATAATAGGGTACAATACTAACAAATACGAATGAAACACACTTGTTATTTTAGTCACTCGACTTATGTCCTCTAACTCACAACCTATTCTAGCCTAGACTTATTTATTTCCACTTGCCTAGGGAGTTATGACCTTCTTCTTCAGAATGAAGGTCAAGCTCAAACCAACTCGAGAGTTTCTCGTTTGGTGGGTGAGATCCTTATCTCTTTCGGAATGACAGTTCATAGATCTTCGTTTTGGTGTTTTTACTCGAATAGTCATTGGACCTAGCAAGTGCCACATGACTCTAACATCTTTATATCTATGACGTAACTTGCAACTATTCCATTAAGGTCACTCCTAGAATTCTTCTAGGAAGACTATCTCAATCATTTAATATCTTCATACATTAATTTCATAACATAGGACACACAAGGATCAGTACATTCAACATAATAAATCATGATTCAATCATATGCTTGGAACTGAGTGTGAACAATCATGCTTACCATCATGCAACATGTAATGTCCCAGAGTACATCCTTGACACATAAAACAAAACACCAAAACTAGACAACAGGTTGCAGGCAGTAACAGCATCATCTACCGTTCGACAGTAGCATGTCCTACCCACCGTCCCGAGACAAGCTTGATGCGACAGCACCCGTCGGAAATCCGATGTTTTGAGCCTTAACTAGCAACCACCAGCGTACATAATGTCTCAACATCATTCATAAACATAATATAATCAAACAGTTGATCAATTAACACCTAATCATGCATTCTACCCGATTAAAGTCATCATTAACCCAATTTTTCCAAAAAATTGGCAATTTTTACAGAAATCAATCATACAAGATTATGAATGTGAATTTCAAACTTATATGTATAATCTAACGTTAGATGTCCACGTACTCACCTCGAATTTGAAGAAAGATTAACTACGAAGAATTGAAAATGATTATGACGATAGCGTGGTGGCGAGGCTCTTCTTCTTCCTCTTTCTTCTTTTTCTTCTTCTTCCTTCTTCTATAGTTCCTCCTGCGCTTCTCGATGATGTTTTGATCGTGAAAAGAAACGTGCTGAGCGGTGTGCATGCGTTAAGAGGTTTATTTATACTCATAGAGTTTCGTGCACCGTAATTCCTTAATGTACCTCGGTAAAAATATACTTTTCGTGCTAACTTACTCCAAATTCATATATGTTTACACCGTTGGATTCCTCTCATAGAATCACACACAATGGTATAGTTTTTTAATTTACTGACAAGTACTTTTTAATTAAATCTCGATTCTTCTCAATAATTAATTAACTATTTTTAATTATTTAATTCTGATAGACTGAGTTTCGGGGCGTTACAAGGATTGTTGCTCCCATCAATGTAAAGAGGATTCAAATATTTTTTCATGGAAGAATATTTAACTAGGTTTTCCATCATCTCCGATGGAGCCAAAATTTCACCATTTTTTTTGCTTTGTGGTGTGATGGAATAAATCAAAATGGATCTCTAAACTGTCTGTACTTCTTTTATTAATGAAGTAGCATTTAGTCAAGCAATGCAACTTTTGACGGTGAGTCGGGGGTCTCTTTGGAAACAGCCTCTCTACTTTCGAGTAGGGGTAAGGTCTGCGTACACACATCCTCCCCAGACCCTACTCTTGTGGGATTTAACTGGGTTGTTGTTGTTATTGTTGTAATATTTAACTAGGACTAACATATGTTTTATATGTAGTATATCACAATAAAAATTTTCTATTTTATACTACAAGAACCGGTATGACGTACTATTGTAGCCAATGAAGATTCGATCAACTGTCTTTGGACCGATCTTCATCTTCTTTGGTGGTGGTGCAAGTACTTTCGCGAGACACCCCCACACTTTGAGATACTTATAGCAAAGTTTCCTATTATGCTAAAGTTTAGTATTGACTTAACTCACAAGTGTGACCCTACCTTAAAGAAAGCTCCAACGACTCAGTCATTTATTCCAGTGGAGCAGTCCGATCGTTCCAGTAAAGCAGCTCGTTCGTTCCTCCCTGTTGAGTTCACTTTTTGGCTTCCACCTTCCGGCGACCCTTTGATTTTTTTTTGTGTTGTAAAATCTGAACATATTATAAGTTTGGATTATTTTAATTTTCATTTTTTAATTCCCGCTATAATATTTAACAATCTTAAAGTAGAAATTTCATGGAATTCGGATTCGACATCGTGGGTTCCTCCGGTAACGGGATGAGTTTCGAAGCTCCGGTAGAAACCTCTTCGGTTGGTATGGTTGTGTCGTCCTTACCGCTGCCCTTCAGGTCAAGTGTGGGGGGCGCCACCATGACATCCTTCTCGATGCCGAGCTTGATCTTCGGGTCGGCACCTCGACCCATTACCCCGTTGGCAATACGAACCCGTTCCTCGGACCGACTATGGCTTCGGCTTAATGGTCAACTTCGGACCGAACGCGAGATTCAACGCACTGGTCAATCCATTCGTCGGACCGCATTAGGCGTCGAATGGACCTTTCCTCCTTACGCCCAATGCTGTTGGGCCGATATCAGTGCCCGCTAGTACGGTCAAAAGGCCACCGAAGTTCAATGGCACGAACTTCAAAATGTGGAAACAAAATATGACGTTTTTTGACCGTCCTAGGATTTGCTAAGTACCTACAGCAAGATCCTTCCCAGCCAAACGACAGCAACGACCCCCTCGTGGCGATGGTGAACCAAGCATGGTACCATAACAACTATCTCACCATCAACTACATTCTCGAGGGGTTGGCCGAGACGTTGTACCCTGTCTATGCTGGTGCAAAGCTTGCAAAGAAGCTTTGGAATAGCTTGAACAAGAAGTATCAAGCTGAAGATGCCGGCACGAAGAAGTTCATCGCCGGGAAGATGCTGGACTACAAGATGGTTGACAACAAATCTGTTGTCGCCCAGGCTGAGGAGCTTACAGTAATCTTCAATAAATGCAATGAAGAGAAAGTAGGCGTTAGTGCAGCCTTTTTCAAGTGGCGGCCATCATTCACAAACTTCCACGCTCTTGGGAACACTTCCAAGCTGATCTCAAGCTAAAAAGAACAGAGCTGAACCTGGAGCAACTGCTCATGGGTTGAGGATCCGAGAGGAAGGGTGATAAGTCGTTTTTGGGTTAGTTCTTTTTATTCTTTTTTAGGCATTTTTAATATTTTTAGAGTTTAATTTTTTGTTGTTTTGCTTAGTTTTATTTTAATTCCCATTTTTACAATTTTTAATTTTCTTTCAAAATAGTAGTTTTTTAATCATTTTTTTTACATTCTATTATTTTTATTTTATTTTTCCTAACCCAAGTTATCAGATATCTTATTTGTAGAGAAAAGTGTAGCAAAAGACCAAGTTGAAGTTCAAGTCTGGAAAAAGAAAATAATTTGGGCCGGAGTCCAAATCCTACATTAACATATCAAGAATGAGCCCATTACTCCTTCCCCACTCCTGTTTTGTTTCACGCAAAAAAAAGAAGTGAGAAACATACCTTTCTTCTTCTTCTTCGTCAACTAGGAGCCACGCACGAAGCCAATGCCCAAATCGGATTAACGACTCTCCAACGTTCGCCAATCAATGCTCCAACGGGAAGAATTCAACTTGTCCAAAGCTCCTCCTTGCTATAAATTGAAGAGAATCGACGCACATGAGAAGGAAGGGGGGAATTCACACAGAGAATAAAACAAGAATAAAGCAGCGGCTTGGCCGCTGCTATGGTGGTCGCCGGCGATGGTGGAAGGCGGCGCGGAACGGCCGGCAGACGCGCAGCAGCTCCAGCTCCGGTGGGCAGCCTCCATCACAGCTCTAGTTTACTCAATTTGCTCAATTTCTTCAACAATTGGTAACTCTTATTTGTCAATTTTATCTTTTCTTTTCCAATTCTATGTAAAAGTTTGTTTTTTAATTCAATTTTACATTTTTTGCTTGTTGTGTTTGTTTCAAATATTCTAAAAAATGGTTGGTGTTCTTCTTTTTGGGTTTTTCTTAATGTTTATATTAAAATCCCTTATGAATGAGAATTGATTCAAACTAGTTTTTCTTCAATTATTGAGCAAGTTGTTGTTGAATTGTATAATTTGATTTCATAAGTAGGTTGGTATGTGGAATTCGGTTTTTGTTGAAGCTATTTTAGCTCCATAAGGTAGTTAAATGAACTCCGAATTCATACGTGAATCTTTTTTGTGCATTGTGTTTGTTGATTTTAAGAATTTTGGACTTCTTAGCCCCATAAGTTGATTCATTAATCTTAGAATTCGTTATTGAGTGATTGTGTATGTTTTCGTATGTTTGTTCGTTATTTTCATAAAATTAAGGTTGTTTAAGCTCAAAAAACAATTCTTGATTTATTGAAAATATGTCGTGTTCATCTATGTGAATAGAAAAAACGTTATTGGTTTGAGAAGTTCATGAAAATCTGTGAAATGTGCTTATCATTAGGAGAAAAAGTTTATTAAAATGCATAAGGTATTGGCGGTTTGTGAATATATTATGCATGAGAGTTAGAATGAAAAAAATTTGCTCTTTTATAAACTTTTTCTATAGTGGAAGTATGTTTTCATGCTTGATTGGTGAGTTGGGGTTCTAAGGTATATTTCAAAATGGGCCTTTGAATTACATGACTCCGGGCCGTGTGGAGAGTTGACAATCCTCCATATCGTGGTTAAGGAAATGAATCGACTCGGCCTTTGATTGATTTTTTTCAATTCTTAAGTGCATAAGTTACGTACTCCCTTCGTTCCGTTAAACACCTCCGGTTTTGACTTTTGGCCAAAATAAGGGAGGGTTAATTTGGAGAAGACTTTCCAATAATACCCCTAGGGTTGCACGTGGGAACCCAAGCCCAAAAAAATTGATTAAAGTACAAAAGGCAATCATCATTTACTATTGCAAATAGTTAAAGCATTTAATGCTCACATACTAAGGACTGCACGGCTGGCTTCCTTTCTGGGGGGGATTACAGATTTGTTTTTTTGGGAAATTTTTAAAATTCCCTCCAAAGAACTTCTAAATTTAGTTCAATAAATACATCAACAACACCATCTTCCATGCATTAAACCTTCTCACTCTTCCTCCATAATGAGTTAGCATTAAGTTCACTTTCTTCCCTTTGCATTTATGGCTGCCTCCTCCTTTTCCACACACACACAATCTGATTTTGAAGATGCTGTCTTGCCACCACTCGTTGAGGTACCCTTTGCAGCATCTTTTAACAGTCCTGAAACAGAAAACCGAAACTGCATTTCTAGTGTACACGCAAGGAATGAAAGAAGGAAGAAAGTTATTGATGCGATACTACAAAAATACAAGGACGGCAAACTTCAGCACGGTTGTATTAAGTCAGTAGCTAATGACTTCAAGATTTCAGATCGTTCGGTTAGAGACCTATGGAGAATTGCTAAAGCTCAATTGGACACATGCCTTGCCTATTGATGTTGCCTGTAGGTGGCAAGGAAATACAGGGAAAAAATCTCTGACTAAGGACTTTTCCAAGCTTAGCTAGATTCCTTTTCACCAATGCCAGACCCTGCGTGCAATAAGTCATTGCTTGAATGTGTCTACTACAACAGCACACAGGTGGCTGAAGGAGAAAAAGATAAAAAGACATTCTAATGCCATAAAGCCATTTCTGTGTGAAAAAGGTAAGTTGAAAAGACTCAAGTACTGTTTGTCTTTTATATCTCCCACATCACTACCAAACCCCACATTTCATGACTGTTATGATTACATTCACATTGATGAAAAGTGGTTTAATTTGAGCAAGCCCAAAGCAAAATTCTACACACTGCCTGGTGAAGATGACCCATACAGAACCACTCAGTCTAAAACACACATTCCCAAAATAATGTTTCTGGCAGCTGTGGGTAGGCCAAGGTTTGGGGTGGATGGTGAAGTTATATGGGATGGAAAAATTGGCATTTTTCCATTCACTTTTGAAGAGGCTGCTAAAAGGGCTAGCAAAAACAGGCCAGCTGGTACCATGGAAATCAAAGCAGTACCAAAAATAATAAGGGATGTAATGAGATCCATGATGATTCACAGTTGCTGCCAGCAATAAGGGCCAAGTGGCCAGGGACAAGCAAGCAAGTTATCATACAACAGGATAATGCTAAACCACATATAGATATTAATGATCCTGAATTTGTTAATGCTTCAAAGGAAAGTGATTGGGACATTCAACTACAGTTTCAGCCCCCAAACAGTCCAGACTTGAATGTCCTTGACCTTGGTTTCTTTAGGTCAATAGATGCTTTGTCACACAAGACTGCACCAAGGTCAATGAGGGAGTTGATCACCAATGTGACCATGTCTTATGACCAACTCACAGCCCAGACCTTAAATAATGTTTTCCTTACCTATCAGGAGGTAATGGGTGAGGTCCTTAAGCAGAAAGGGGGAAATGACTATAAAATACCACATATGGGCAAAGAAAGGTTGGCCAGAGAAGAAATGCTGCCTGAGAACATACATGTGGATGCTCAAGTCTATGAAGATGTTGTCCAGTTCTCAGAAAGCAATACTTAAGGGCCAAAGGACAGTACTTTTCTGTAACTCTTTTTTTGGTTTGTACTTGTACACACAACAACATACTTTTTTTTTCCTTTTTGGTAGTGTTTTGTCATAGTGTGCAGGCTTGTGTAATGATGTGGTACCAGATCCTGAATCTAAAATATTAAGCAGGGACTGAATATCAATCATAGGCAGATAAAATGCCTCAAAACTCAACTTTGTACTGCAATCATAGGCATATAAAGGGGCAGTAATGTCTAGGGACTCATACCATGGTTGGGTTGCCTTAGAAATTCATTTAGAAGTTCAATCATAAGCATATAAAGGGGCAGGCATGTCTAGGGACTCATACCATGGTTGGGCTGCCTTAGAAATTCATTTAAAGTTCAATCATAGGCATATAAAGGGGCAGACATGTCTAGGGACTCATACCATGGTTGGGCTGCCTCAGAAATTCATTTAGAAGTTCAATCATAGGCATATAAAGGGGCAGGCATGTCTAGGGACTCATACCATGGTTGGGCTGCCTCAGAAATTCATTTAGAAGTTCAATCATAGGCATATAAAGGGGCATGCATGTCTAGGGACTCATACCATGGTTGGGCTGCCTCAGAAATTCATTTAGAAGTTCAATCATAAGCATTTAGGAACTCAACATCATAGGGGTGGCAAAGACATATTCCTAATTGAGCACAGTAAGCCTCCAAACCTATAGGGGTGGCATTACAGTGAAGCAATTCTCCCATAATTCAGAAAGACTAGGGTTTGCATCATTAGTTTGTGCAAAAAATATGCAATGAAGTCAAGAAGCAGGAAATTTTACTTTAAGAAGACAACACTGCATAAACAACAGAGGCTTTAACCCTTCGTAATTTTTCCCCAAAATCAGAACATGTAGGGTTTACATAAACAAAGGCAATATAATATTCATAAAGAACAGAGGATTGAAGCACTTTACTCTGTTCAAATCACATGAGCTTCATTGGACTTCCAACGGGTTTGGCAAAGAAAATATCCTTATCAGAGGTCATTCCTCCAATCTCTTCTGTGGTGAATGAATCAACCTCTGAATCTCCTGATTCCCCTTCTCCCAGATCTGAATTCCACTTAACACCGTCCGGAAGATGGTCACCCCCAAGGTATTTCTTCCGGTAGTTCCAGGACGGATCAGTGTCAGAAGAATCAGATGCATCAGGGTTATAGCCTGGAAAACATACCCTCTTGCGCTTAGGAGGTCGCACATCTTCATCGCTTTCACTGAGAAGGCGAAAGGAAGACATATCCCAGTCCAGATCTGGAGAAGGAGGGGATGAGGCCATGGAAAATTTGATCGGCAGAGATGGCGTAGGTGAGGATAGGGTTTAGGGAAGAGAGAGAGACGGCGTGTGCCAGTAAAGGGCTGGGTATGGGTGGGATGGGTAGTCTTTTAGGGCTGGGGGGTATTTTGGGAAAAAAGTGTGGAATGGAAGTGTTTTGTGGAAAACAAAAAAACCGAAAGAGGAAGTGTTTAATGGAACAGAGGGAGTAATATATTGTCTACGTGCCTATTATACGTGTAATGTTCAACTCGTGTTTGTTCTCTTTTTTTTCATTTTGTTTCGGGTTCTTGGTGGTGTTCTTGGGTTACTTTTATTGGAGTAGATGATTATCTTTAGAGCTTGTTTTCCCCCATTTAATCAAAAAACCAAAAAAAAATATAAAAACCAAAAATATTTACTTTTTACTCAACCCCCTCCCCCTTCGTATTTTACATTATAATATAAATTTTTATTTACTAAGTTA